CCTTCGCCCCTGCTGCCGGCGCCGCAGCAGCTATCGCATCCGTCTCTTTCCGCGGCTTCTTCTCTTCGCCCTCGTTGCCGCCCTTCGCCTGCTGCGCCGACTCCTGCTCCCTGAGCTTCCCCGCTGCTCATGCGAAGGCCTGCTTTGCCGCCGCCTTCGCTTCCTTGCTCGACGTCTTCTTCCGTGGCCACGCTCTCACAGTCGCCCAGGTCGAAGAGTTCGCACATGCCCACCTCCAAGTCGTCGTTGCCGAGCAACGCGGCAATGGGGGGCATGGGCTTGCCCCCCCCCCTCGCGGCCTGGATGTGCCCCGAGGGGGTGACGTTGCAGTTCCTCCTTGACGCGATCCTCCGCCTGCGAGACCTCCACCGAACGATCCAAGAAGTCTTTGTCCGCCTGCTCGAGCTGCGAACGAAGACGCTCTCGGTGACGGTATGCCGTCTGCTGCTCGCGCGTGCTTTCTGCGCAGCGTTTTCTGCTGCTCGAAGCGCAGCTCGTGACCCAGAGATGGATTGCTGAGATCCGCCCCCAGCAGGCTTGGGCGCCAAGATGCGGAGAACCTCCTTGGCGCGTTTCTCGTCGTCCGCCGTGCTGAGATGTACCGCCATCTCGAGTGCTTGGAGGTGCCAGGAGGGTCTTCCTCGTTGTAGACGCTGTTGTGCTAGTAGCCGCCGTAGCTGCCCGACTTCTGCTCGCCTGGGGCTGCTGATCCCCCCTCCGTGCCGCCGCGCTTGCACTTGCAGCCTGCATCCGCCAAACGATCAGCCCAGAGCCACTTACCACACTTGACGTTCTGTCGGAAGGCCTTGGCCACTCCGCCGCTGCTTCCCTGGCCCCTGCTCCTGGGTCTGGTCTGCGTCCGGCTGCCGCCGCTGCCGTGGCCGTCGAGGTGCCAGGGTTCACGCTGGACGCAGGGGTTGACGGCGCCATGGACTCCGAGCTCCACCACGTATACTGCCTTCACCACCGCAACCACCGCCAGTGCCGTCGCAGCTGCCCAGCCCAGAGAGAAACGGTGCCAGGGCCGCGCTGTGTGGCAACACGCGGGGGATGTGGGCAGAAGTCGAACTGACATCACTAAAAAGCTGGCCCTCGGCGTCAGAGCGGTTCTAGCGCTCGAAGCGCCCAGGGGACTCGCCGTCTTTGGAACCATCATCGGCCTTGGGACAAATTGGCTTCGGATCATGATGATGTTGGCGATGCTGATGATGCCGATGGTGGTGATGCTGATGATGATGCTGATGCTGCTGCTGCTGATGATTATGATGATGCTGATGCTGATGCTGTTGATGTCGAATGATGATGCTGATGATGATGATGATGCTGCTGATGATGATGATGATGACGTTGATGATGATGCTGATGATGATGATGATGATGGTGACGTTGATGTTAATGATGATGATGATGATGATGGTGATGAGGTTGATGATGATGCTGAGGCTGAGGCTGAGGCTGAGGCCGAGGCTGAGATTGAGGCTGAGGCTGAGTCTGAGGCTGTGGATGAAGCTGCGGCTGGCGATGGTGCTTACGGAGTTGGTGCTGACGGTGTTGCTGATTATTAAGATGATGTTGATGTTGATGGTGGTGGTGGTGATTCGGGTGATCGTGGTGATGATGTTGCTGGTGGTGGTGGTGATGCTGATGCTGCTGATGCTGATGCTGATGATGATGATGACGATGATGATGATGATGATGATGATGATGATGATGATGATGTTGTTGATGTTGATGTTGCTGATGCTGATGATGATAGTGGTGGTGGGGATGATGATGCTGATGATGATGTTGATGCTGATGATGATGCTGATGCTGATGCTGTTGCTGACGATGATGCTGATGCTGATGATGATGATGATGATGATGCTGATGATGATGATGATGATGATGATGATGATGATGATGGTGATGATGGTGATGATGATGATGATGATGATGATGATGACGGTGGTGGTGGTGATGTTGATGCTGATGAAAGTGATGACGGTAATGATAATGATGCTGCTTATGATGATGATGATGATGATGATGATGATGATGATGATGATGATGATGATGATGACGACGATGACGATGACGATGACGCTGGTGGTCGAATGGCCCTCGGTCCATCGCGCCACCATGCCTGGTTTGTTGGCCTGAAGTATATTGGATGGTTGTTGGGATTTCGTGGGAGGCCTCTCGGGGGCCTCTTGGGGGCAATTTGAACGCTCCTTGGGGTCTCGTTTGGGGCCTCGTGGGGCCTCTGTTGGACCTCTTTGGGGCCTCTTGGGGCCTGTTGGGGGCCTCGTGGGGCCTCCTCGGCGCCTCTTAGGGGACATCGTGCGTTGTGATCTGTGGAACGTCATGACTGCCATTGGAGTAGTATTGGGTCTTCTCGGACGTTCGTATTCGAGAGTCGTGTAACACATACTCGTTTTCACATGGTTTGGGCCGCTTGGGCGAACACCCAGAGGCCGCGAGGACGGCCCCAGGTACTCCCGAGAGGGCTTCCAGGAATTGCCAGCATGGTGGAGCGTTCGAGCCCCAGGCATCGAGGCTTGCCAGAAATGTCCCTGGCCCGATGTGTCCCCTGCTTTTCCCGCCATCTTGAAACCCCCGGGGCCGCCATTGGGCCCAGTGAGGGGTGCTCTGGAGGCCTTCTGGGCCTCCCTGGGAGTCCTGGGGACGCCTTGGGCCAGGGACACCCTTGGCAGCACCCGAAGCCACGCTCACAGGGCCTCAAGACCTCTGGACAAGCCGCTGGGCGGACTCCTGCAGCGCTTCACTCGGTGCCTATAGCACGGTGCTGCGCGGTTGCGGATGTGCCTGAGCAGAAATGGCCGGTTGGGAGCCGTGCGTTGCACGAAGATGAGGCAGCCATCGGGCCAGAACTAAACGGAGTGGGGCCGTTGTGTGAAGGGCCGTGGCGCGAGGCTGGTTCGGAGGAGCAGTGTGCCACATCCTTAGGCAGGCCATCCAGAAGGCCTCCGACAGCTAGCGAGGATGACTGGGCCTGTGAGACTGTGGCGGGCGGTAGCCGCGTCTTTCGGGCAGCGCTACGGGGCGACCCACCACCAGAGGGGCTTGCCAGCTCCAGGAAGTCGAGGATCGAGGAGGGGCCAAAGGAGGATCGAGAAGGGCTGGGGTGCGTCTTGCGAAATCTGTCGGGAGGGGGGGCACCTGGGGGTACCGAGGAGGTGGCGACCCCCCCAGTGGCGATCCCTCTCGCATTGCGTACTTTCGTACCCAAGCCTCCGACGCCGCGAAGTTGTCGGCGACGTCGGCCCACGCTGCTCTCGCTTATCCTCGTCCCCTCGCCCCGGGACATTCTTGTTTCATCCCGGCATCTCTTTGAGGGCCCCGGGGTGGGTGGGTGGGGGCTCGAGTTTGGCTCCAAGGTTGGGAGGCAAGCGCGAGGCGTGCGAAAGAACGACCTCCTAGATACGTAGCACCCCGCACTTGCGGGCATGGGTGAGGGTGCGGCAGCGCTCTCGCCGAGACATTTCGCCCAGGACGTCTCGCTCAGGACCCCCCACCCAGGACCCCCCTCCGCCCAGAAACCCCGCCCAGGACCCCCACCGCCCAGGACCCCCCGCCCCGGAGCCCCCGTCGAGGGCCCCCCCGCCCAGGGCCCCCCGTCGAGCTGACGCGGGCCCACGTCGGCCTCGCACGCCCAGGGATGAAGTAAGACCGCTCGGGCACCGTCATTTTGATTCAAGTCAGCTGAGCGAAGCCAAGGACGCCCTCGAGGGCGCGAAGTCATTCGCGCTTCGCGCTTCGGCTCCCATTCCTTCTCGTCCTCCTTTTCTCCCCTGGGAGGCGGCGCGAGAGCGCGAAGTTATTCGCACTTCGCGCAGCGCGAAGCGCGAAGTTGGGAGCCCTTGGAAGCGGAATCAAGCAGGATGCACGAGATTTTGTCGGATCAGGCCAGTTTTCGGCCACGGGTGTACCAGAGCCGATGCCGAATTCGGTTTCCGAGAACGTCACTCTAACACGGGTCTGGACCCCAAAGCGGGCATCGTGCGTTTGCCCAGCACTCCAGGCCTTGTCCATCGAGCGGGGCTAAGACAGGGAAAAGTCGTTCCGCAGCGTTCCAGAAAATGCGGGCAATGTCTATATCCACATCCAGTGCGTCTTGGAGTTTCGGGCTCTCTTCCCCCAAAACACGAGGCGCACTGGATCTGGATTCAAATCTGGCCCCCAAAGGCTACATGTTATCCATAACCATTGCGCCTCGGCCATGCGGCGCCCCTTCCAAGAAAGTCCAAGACGCACTGGATATGGATATAATTATTGCCCGCAGAACATTCTCAGAGTGTCCCGGAACGCTCTGAGAAGGCAGCGGCACCCGATAGATCCTCCAGAACCGGTGGATCTGAGAGACCCCCGATTTGTCCCTGTCCGATTCTGGCCCTGTCCTGGCCTCGTCTCAGTGCATGCAGCACCCCGAGGGTGCTCTGCTCCCCCTCTCGGTCGGCGGCGAAACCCGAACCTTCCCCTCGCCCGGCAGCGATTCGGGCAACGCAGTGAAATACGGGGTTGTCTGCGCCGACATTGCGGCGTAAGCTGCCCGCGTAATGTCGCGCGTAAGCGCACTCGTCTCCAGTGTAGCGTGCCGTGCTGGCGGCCCGCAGGAGCCGCCGCGTACGGCCGCGATCTCCTCTTGCGCAAGGCCCGTCGACGTTCGTCGCTCGCATGGCGAATTCCGAAGCCTTCAGCGCCAAGCCGGTGGTTGGTGTGGAGGGGGGAGGATGCCGCCACCCACTCTACCAGCCTGGAACATACCCCTATCCCTGCGCTGGGCATCTCCTCATCACGGTGCCAGTCCTGGGGATTCCCCTTGTTATTCTTTGAGGGCGCATCCCTGAGATTGTCGTCGCCTCTTGGCGTGTCGATCTCATTGATCGGGGTACGCTCGAGGCTGGCAACCACTGGAGTACTGCGGCGAGGCGCCCGCGCGAGCCCGCGCCGCGCCCCCCCCCCCCCCCCCTCCCCCCCCACCCCGCGCGCCGCGGCAGGACGCCGAGCTGTTGGCGAGGTTCAGCGAGCTCGACGCGGACCCCCTCCTTCGCCTCCTCCTCCCCCCTCCCCTCCTCCTTCTCCTCCTTCGCCTCCTCCTCCTCCTCCTCCTCCTCCTCCTCCCCCTCCTCCTCCCCCTCCTCCTCCTCCCCCTCCCCGGGAGCCCTTTCGGGAGCCTTGAGACGGGGGTCAATGCAAACGGGGGTCAGCCAGGGCGCCAGATCCTGCAAGATCCTGTGAAGACCCCCTCTGGCTGACCCGGGTTAGCGAGCCGCTCGTGGCCGCGAGGCGGCCGCGCATACTGGCTGACCCGGGCTTGCGAAGACCTGCGCTGCAGTTGTTTTTTCTTGCATGGCAGTTTTTGGTTTCTTGCTGACCCGGGTCTGGATTGACCCGGGTCTCAAGATCCCCGACCCTCCCTCCGATCATGCAGCATAGTGCAGCTCCGAACCCTACTCTCACAATCCATTCGGGGCCTCACTCAGGTCCGCGGTGGTTTGAAGGATCTCCCTGAACGTATGGGCCGTCCCGTTTGGTACATCTTCAAAGAAGACCCCTCACCCCTGATGTTCTGCCCCTCCTAACAAAGGGTCATGGTTTTTTCTTTGCCTACCACGAGAGAGGAAACTCTCGGGGGCCACGATCGGGGGGATAGGCTCAAGGGGTGGACGCGTCGACCCTCCATCGCCCATGGATCGCCCATACTGTTCCCTGACGCCGGGGACGTACGGACTGGTCATCGGGGGCCCATCGCCGATCTATCGGCGATGTATCACCGACTCCAGGCCGATGTGTCCTCCCTTGTGCGAGTACTCGCCGCATCGTTGCCCACAGTCAGAACCCATGACCTGTGACTGTGACCAAGATGTCGCAGGATCTTGTCGGCACCGACCTTAGTTCTGGTCCATGCCGGCCGTCGCCCTTTCGCCAGGGTGATACACGAACCCGTGATGACCAAGGTGGGCGGTGGCCAAGATCGGCACAGGCATGACGGCGTCCCAGTGGTTTTGGCTCGGCAACTGCAGTTCAGCGCGGCCCGCCTCGAAAAGGACAGCTTCCGAGCGCTCTCACCATGTCAGGAGGGGAAAAAACACAGACACAAGAAATCCCCAGGAAAATATGGGAAGATATGAGAAGTGGGGGGGGGAGGACGAAAACCCAGGAAATATAGGAAGGGAATCCTTTTATTTGTGCGTAGTTATTTGTGTGTCCCAGGGCCCCTTCCCCGTGGGCCGCTCCGGCAGGACGACCGCGGCCGCCGCCGCCGCGCCCGCGGGGCCCCGCAGCTCCCGCGCCAGCCCCGTGCGCACTCGGCCGCCGCCGCTGCGGCCGCCGTGGCCGGGCTCGCGCCGGCCGCGACGCTCGCGGGTCACCAGTCTCGAATCCATCCCTATCCCTAAGATTGACATGCCAAAAGGCGATGACAATCCTAGGGACGCGCCCCGAAAAGCGAAGGGAATCCCTAAGATTTGGCATCGCGAGGGGGCGATGCCCAGCTTTTAGGGATAGGGATCTGTTCCAGGCTGGTGAGCGGGCTCCATCGGCGACGCGGCGAAGAAGCTCGGCGGCGCCTCTCACGACTTCGCTAAGTCCGTGGACTGGTACAGCCCCCTGTCCCTGAACCCCCCTGGGTCGCTCCAGGCGGACGGGGCGACGAAGGCCATCGAGAAGATGATCGCGACGGGCGCGAAGGCCGATGCCGCGCTGCTCACGCAGGGCGCGGGGGCCCACCACAGGGCCATCTTCAGCATCGGCCGCGCGATCGCCTCGGTGCCCGAGGAGGCCGTGATGGACGCGTGCAACGCCATCGCCGCCATTGCCCACCCGGGAGTGCCGGCGTACATCATGGAGTCCATGGCCAATGGTTTTTGCGGCCGACGCGGCGCGCGCCGGCTTCCTCGAGCTCGAGGATGTCGCCGAGGCCAGCCAGACCGGCCATGCGCGGGGGGTGCGGTCGGCGCCGCTGCGAAAGAGCTGTCCGAGGCCTCGCGTCGTCTCGTGACGGAGGATGGAGTGGAAGTCTGACCTATACTTCCAGCCGCTCCCAGGGGTCGCCACGCAGCAGGCTTTCAAGACCGCGGGCAAGTCCACTGTCGCGGGCTCGAAGATTGCCGCCGGGGAGCTGAAGGCTGGCGCCGAGGCGCGCGCCAAGGCCCTCGCGAGCACGGGCGGGAGAGGCGTGACCTCCCTGGAGGACTACATGGCCGTCAACGCAGCCGTCTGGCTCGCGATCGCTTCCACGCCGACCTCAAATACGATGGGCGCGCGCAACACCTTCGCTCGCATCGTCAAGCCAGAGGCGCCCGGGAGCCTGATGTCCGGCGTCAGCCCCGCGGGCGCCCAGAAGGGCGCGCCGCGCCTTCCTCGAGTCCATGGGCGTCTCCGGGGCGCAACGTCCGGTGTTTCGAGGCGTCTCCGGGCGGCTTGGGCTTGCCTGCTCCTCCCGCGGGCCGCTCCCCCTCAAGGCCGCAGGGTCCCGCTCGGGAGTCCCAGCAGCGCCCCGTAAGCCCAGCGGGCGGGCGTCTTGTAATCCATATTCTCATGGCCCGAAAAGTCGGCGTCCAGTCTCGGCGCTGGTCATCGTTTCCAAGCCCCCCGCACCTCCCTTGTTTCGAAGAAGAAACATACGTGAACATAACGCTCGGTGGTCCGAATGGATATCCTGGATTTTTTTGGGGCCCCCCCATGCGCGGCGTGCGGAGCGCGCCAGGGCGGCGCCAGACGCGCAGCCACAGGGCTCCCAGCCCCAGTGTCAATGCGAGAAAATTGCGGATGTTTGGAATATTCTGTTCGTTATGCAGTTTGGCGTGGTCTCTGTTCTATTCGCGCTCCCACCTCTCGTTCTCCGCGCTCGCGGGCGCGAGAGCGGGCGGGCAATCATCCCTGCCCCTTTCCCCCTCATGCCCTTGAGTCATCCGGGCGCGAGGTGGCCCCGCAGCTTGGTCGGCAAAGGTGGGCGCCGCCGATCTCCAAACGATGCAAAATCTCGACGGTTCCTCAGGGCGTCGCCCGTCAGGGAAGCGGACAGAGCGCCCATCCTAGAAATCGTGGACTCCAGTTGTTTATGTTCATGCCGTTGTTTGTCCATCTGTGCCCTGCGTCGCACTCCTCTTGAGCTGGCGGCCCGCCCGATTTGATACTGTTTTTTTGGGGCCCACCTTGCTGACCGTCCAAGACGGCTACAAGCAATACGCCAGGACCCCGATATTTCAATCGGCGGGGAGGTCTTTTAGTAGTCGGAATATGTACATGGGCCAGGTATGTGTGAATATTTACATATGTCTGTTTAGCAAAAGCTCTCTTGAAGGTCAAGGCTCGGGCCCACGTTGAGGAAATCCGCGCGGATCTCCGCACGCCCTGCGCCCGGGCCGGACAAGGCAGAGGCGCCGCTTCGAGGCACAAAACCTGGCACACAGTTTAGATGTCGTAGTTTCGCGCGGTGTCCAGTCTCGGTCATGGTCATCTTTTGCGTGCTTTCCCCGCCCTTCCTTCTCACGAAAAAGAGCAAACATGCATACACAAACTGTCGTAGTTCCGTGCGGATATCTTGGGATCGGCGCTGGGCACCATGTGGCGGCGCCTTCAGCGCCGCCCCTGGCGCCCTTGACGCGCAGAACGCGCCAGGGAGGGGGGTCCAGCGCATGTCCAACAAATCCACGCGATCTTTCGAAACTTCATGGTTTTGCCACTTTTTGTGCCTCAAGTGCCAGATTTCGGGAGAGCTCCACCTCCTTCAAGCAGTAGCACGGCGCCTTGCTTTGCCTGCAGGGCCCGTGAGCGAATGTGTTGTGCAATTTGTGGTTGCGGTTTGCGCGACATGTCTTCAGGACGCGGTCTCACGTTCTCGCAACACGATTACTGGTTTTCGAATGTCTGTTGGTTCTAAGAGTATTTCGTGGTGGACCTGCTGGAATGCCACCACGCTCGGCCCCTGCTCCGTTGTGCCCCTCCTACCGTCGAGCGCTGATCTTCCCTGTGCGGAGGCAGGAGGACGGGAGGGAGGAGGAGGTTGAGGAGCTGGGGCAGGATGGACAAGGCGCTGGAGGAGGAGGAGGAGGAGGAGGAGGAGGAGGAGGAGGAGGAGGAGGAGGAGGAGGAAGGAGGGAGGAGGAGGGAGGCGGAGGAGGAGGAGGAGGCGGAGGAGGAGGAGGAGAGGGGCTACGGTAAAGCAAACACTGGGGGAATGGAGGTGGATGGGAGGGGAGTTCTGGCAATTGGGGCGGGCACATCGTGCGCGTTGTGCGGCCTCCAACCCAGAAGCAGGTCGCCCCTGCTTGATATGTATGTCGATCCTGCCAAATGAATGGTACCTTCTTGTCATGCGTCTCGCGACCCATTCCTCCTACATTCCTATGGGACTGTGGCCTTCGGAAGGGTCTTGTGTCCTTTCGCGTGTCCTCTGCAATCAAGTCCGACTGTATCGCCTACTTACCCTCACACACACACACTCACACTCGCACTCACACACACAGACACACACACACACACACACACACGCTGTCGCATCGCCGCCTCATCAGGCGGAGCCGTAGCAGCCGCAGCGCTGCTCATAGCAGCAAGGTCAATTCAGATGGCGGGGCAAGGATGCATCATGATGTGTCCCAGCGAGCCCACCGACCCACCCACAGAACGCGCGCAATGTGGGCTCAGAAATCCTCAGCCCGAGGGACTCGGGCACTCGGCTTCTTCCCTTGCGCAGCGCGGGTCCCCAGACGTCTGGGCCCCGCCCCAGGCGCCCGCTCTGCACGCCGGACAGTTCTCTCACAGCCCCAGGGCACGGCCGGGGCCCCCAGAGGCCGACAACAGTCGAGCTGTTACCCCGTGCTGTTCCACGGCGCGGGGACGGCGAGTCTTCGGGCCACGCCTCGAGCAGGCGGCAGCCGCTCGGGACGAGCGAAACCTTTGAAGCACCGACGCGGAGTGCCAGGCATTGCCCGCCGTAATCGCCTCACGACGCAGGGGGGAGAAGGAGGCGGCAAGGACGCCCTCGAGGGCGCGGAGTTCTTCGCGCTTCGCGGTTCGGCTCCCATTCCTCCTCGTCCTCCTTCTCTCCCCTGGGAGGCGGCGCGAGAGCGCGAAGTTATTCGCACTTCGCGCTTCGCGCAGCGCGGAGCGCGAAGTTGGGAGCCCTTGAGGCGGTCAAGAAGGACGACACCGTCGGCCACGGGCACGGCGACGGCGACGGCCCGCGGGCCCTGCGGCTGCAGAGGACAACAGCGGCACCCTCGACCTCGACGAGCTGAGGCCCGTGCTGCTCACCCGCAGGACCTACTCCCCGGGGGCGCGCGGCGCGCGCGCTGACGAGTGGAGGCCCCCTCTCAGGAGGGGAAAAAGCACACAGACACAATGAATCGACGATTCCCCAGAAAATATGGGAAAATATGGGAAGCGGGGGGGAAGACAACAATCCAGAAGACATGGGACACTATGGGGAATTCTGTTACTTGTGTGTATTTATTTGTGTGTCCCAGGGCTCCTTGACCCTCGCAGGGGCCGCGCAGATCGGCGGCTCACAGATGGGCCCTCGAGGGATTCTACAGGCCTCCCAGATGGGGTCGGAGCAGATGGGGTCGAGTGATCGTGCCGCATCGCCGATGCAGTGGCGATGCGGTTCAATTTGGAGCTCGGTTTTCTTGTAGCCGACGTCGCCGGTGCATCTCCGACGCCGCCGATGCATCGCCGATGCATAGCCGATGCATCGCCGATGTATCGCCGACGCATCGCCGATTCATCGGCGATGCAGTGCAATCTCCGACCCCATCCGCTCGGACCCCATCTAGGAGGCCTCCTTTGGCCGGGGCCTTCTGAGGAGACGCGAAAGGGGTTCTGGGCTGAACCACTGCGTGAGGTCACTCGTGCTTGGGGCCCCAGTCATTCCTCAGGGCCCCGTCTTTGAACCTCCGAGACGCTGCTCCACCCGCGGCCCCAAGCCAGTGCTTCATCCCGAGCCGCTCTTTGACGGCCCTGGTGCCCACAGAGGGCCCCTGAGGCAGACAAAGCATGACCCCCCCTGCCGCGTGCGTTTTTCCACGACGCGGGGCCACCAACATGTCCACTATTACATGTGCTGTTTGTCCATAACTTAGTGGCAACTGGCGGCCCAAACACAGCGCTTTATCTTACACCAGACAAGACCCAAGTCAGTGGATGGTTTGAAAAATGATAAGATGGATCTTGAGATCGACTGTGAGATCGATTGTGAGATCGATAGTGAGATCGATAGTGGAATCGATAGTTAGGACGATTGTAAGGTCGATCGTGAGACCGATAATGATGCCGATTCAATGAGATCGATAGTGAGATCGATCGCGATCTATAGTCAGATCGCTTGTGAGATCGATAGTGCGACCGATTGTGAGATCGATCGATGGTGAGATCGATAGAGAGGTGGGTAATGAGATCGATGGTGAGACCGGGAACCCGCGAACCCCGCCGCCCACCGAAATCGGCCCAGAACCAATAACCGGGAATCTGGGGACCCGGAACCGGGAACCCGGGATCCCAGCCTGCCACCAAAATCGGCGGGAAATTTTCGCCAAATCTTTCAACCTCCGCTAGGACCTCTTCAGTGCAAGCATTGATTGGGGAATCTAGATTTCTGTATGTATGTATGTATTATATATATATATATGTATTGCTTCGGATGCTTGGCGAGGGAGTCTCGGCCCCCAAGCTTGCCAAATACACTTGAGAAAACCCCAATCAGTAAATGTTTTGAAACTTAATACTATGGATCTTGAGATCGATTGTGAGATCGATAACGAGATCGTGGAATCGATAGTGAGACGATTATAAGGTCGATCGTGAGACCGAGAGTGACATTGACTCAATGAGATCGATAGTGAGATCGATCGCGAGATCGCCCATGCGATCTCTAGTGAGATCGGTTGTGAGATCGATAGTGAAATCGATGGTGAGATTGATTTTGAGACCGATAGAGAAGTGGGTAATGAGATCGATGGTAAGACCGATCGATAAGAAGATTGACCAGGATTCCGAGATCCAGGGAACCTCTCCGCCCTCCGAAATCGGCCCGGAACCCGGAACCGGGAACCCGGGAGCCCAGAATTGGGAACCCGGGAACCTAGCCGGCAATCAAAATCGGCGGGAATTTTTTGCCAAATCCTTCAACGTTTGCGAGGACCCCTTCAGTGCAAGCACTGACTGATTGGGGAAGAAAGGCCTCGCCTTCGAGGATCGAAGGAGCTGCCACCTCTTCCGCCGCGGAAGGCGGCGGAGGGTCGGCGGAAGTGGAACGAGGCCGCCTCCGCCGGCGGAAGGGCGGCAGAAGGCGGTGGTCTTAAGAAAAATAAGCCCCCCCCCCCAAGAGATGAAAACGTTTTGGGGTTCAGGGCTTCCGACACCCGCCACATGCATAATCGGGGCAACGTAAGACTCGAGTAAGCCGGAACTCGGGTTTGCCGACGTTTCAATTTGACGAGGGCGCCCAGGACGTTGACGGTCCAGTTCTCGTGGGACGCGCCGAATTTCAGGTTGGGCCTCGTCATGTTTATGATGGCCACGTCAGGCCAACCCGGGTCCTCCGTACCCGAGTCTTACGTCTCCCCGAATATAATGCTTCGAATGTCCAGTGAGGGAGCCTGGGCTTGCCAGCCTGGAAGCTATCCCTACCCCTATGTTGGGCATCGCCTCGTCACGATGGCGATCTTAGGGATTCCCTCAGTTTCTGAGGGTGCATCCCTAAGATTGTCATCGCCTTTTGGCGTGTCAATCTCAGGGACAGGGATATGTTCGAGGCTGGTTATGTGCCCGCACAAAAGAGGTGGCCCAGCGTGGCCCGCCATGCCGGAGCCTCAGCCCTGCCCCCCCCCCGTCCTGGCTGCCCATCGGACGAGGGAAGGCTGCGGCCAGGCGAGGCTCGGCCAGGCTGAACTTGACGAACGGACAACATACACCCATACCCATATCGGGGCAACGTAAGGCTCGAGTAAGCCGGACCTCGGTTTTGCCGACGTTTTTTGACGAGCGCGTTCTGGATTTGACGGTCCAGTTTTCGTGGGATGTTTGCAGCGAGAGCCCTCGTCAAATTTCGGATTGGGTCTCGTCATTTCTATGATGGCCCCGTCGGGCCCAACCCGAGTCCCCCGTACCCGAGTCTTACGTCTCCCCGACCATAGGGGGTCAACTGGAGGAGGACTTGCTATGGGTATGGGTGCGGGTTGTCGGACCACGGGGGAGTCTCCCGCTCGAGCGGGGAGCCCCATCCGACAGCACGCACCCATAGCCCCCTCCGTCCTCCCTGTGGGTATGGGTGCGTGTTGTTCGTTCGTCAGAACTTGGGCAGCCGAGCTCGGTCAGGCTGAATTCGGCCAGGGCCGAGTTCCCCTTGGCCGAGGTCAGCCTGGCCGAGGTCAGCCTGGCCGAGTTCAGCGAGCCGAGTTCAGCCTGTCCGAGTTGTTCCTGGCCGAGTCTAGTTGCTGCCCATCGTGGCCCCCCATCGCGGACTGTGTAAAGCTGCTTGGGTCTTCTGCCGCACGGGTGAGGAGGAGGAGGAGGAGGAGGAGGAGGAGGAGGAGGAGGAGGAGGAGGGGAGGAGGAGGGAGGAGGAGGAGGAGGAGGAGAGGAGGAGGAGGAGGAGGAGGAGGAGGAGGAAGAGCCGTTTGAGGCATCTCGGGGCGCCAGGCCAGGGGGCTCGAGGGGCGGAGGCTGGCGCGGGGCCACACGCGTTGGGCAGCCGTGATTTTTCCTGGAGGAGCACCTGGAATCCTTACAGTCGGGGCCCTGAAGAAGGAACCCTTTTCGTTGGGGAGAGGCTCGGTGTTCCTTGCTTGTTCTGCAGTGTACCTTCGGTTCTCCTGAGGTTTCCCATGGGAAATCGAAGTTCAACTTATGAGAGAAAGAGGCCTCGTTCCTTATTTAGGGTTCCTTAGGTCAACGCCCCAACTGTATTCGGAGGCGGACAGGCCTCCTTCGGGTATGGCCAGGACCCCAGGTAAGGGGGCCCTCGAAACGACAGGGCCGTTTCTTTACCGGTTCCGTTTTGCCGTTGTTTTGCCGGTTCCGACGCCGTTTCTTGTTACCGGTTCCGCCGCCGTTTGTTGGCCGGTTCCGGCTCCGGCTCCAATCCTGGAGCCGTTTTTTTGTCGTTTCCGGTGGCCTTTTTTTGCCGTCTCCATTTTCAAGGGACATTTTTCTGGAAACGGTGAAAAAACGGCCCTGCCGTTTCCGGGGCCCACAAAGGACAGACCTCCTTCGGGTATGGCCAGGACCCCAGGTAAGGGGACCCGGTTAGTGATAGGGCCCCGGAGCCGATGAGGTGGCCAGAATCACCAAACCAGGTTTGCCATAGCTGGTGTTTTTTCGGGTGACGGCAGTTCCGGTTAGTGGAAATGGGACGGGGGGGCGTCCCCGGTACAGAACTAAACCAGGTTCCACTAAACCCAGTTTTGCCAACGCCCGACTCCTACCTTGACACGTCGATTGAGGAATTGGCCGTTTTCGGTTCGCGAGAGGGCGTCGCGGCCGTCATTTTTGCGGGTCCGGGTCCGTCGGTTTCGGTCCTAGGCCGTTTTCACCAAGGGGAGCTTTATTAAAGCGAGGTTTGTCAACCGCCGATTCTTGAGAATGTCTTCGGGCCTCTTGGGCGCCCCTTGGATACTACTTGGGCCCTCTTGGGCTGCTGCGCTCTGATGGAGCCATCTTGGCCGTCTCTGGGGCGTCTTGGTCGGTTCTGGGGCCCGTTGCGGGAGGGAAGGGGCGGAAGGAGGAGAGACTGTACACCCAGCCAGGCAGCACAATAATTACACCCCCTGGCGCGCCAGGGGGCTGGGTGGCGGATTCCATGCCATCGGAGGTTGGGGGGTTTGGGTCATGTGGTTCCGAAAGGGACCCCAGGGAAAGGGACTTTTGAGACGGGCGATGCGGATTTCTCACGTCCGCTCGACCTCGCCCGTAAGGTCTCCGCGTAGCGCTCTCACTCGCGCTCTTCGAAGCCTCAATGCAAGGCCGCGGTCTCAGAAGTTCCTGTCGCTGGCGGAGTTCCTCTCGCTGGCGTCCCTTTCAGAAACGTGCCATTGGGGTGTGAGCAGCAGGTCATCCCAGCGGGGAGGTCGTGTCAGGCTCCTGTCGCGGCCTCGGGCGAGGCGGGGCAGCGCGGGGGCGGCACATGTGCTGGCCGCAAAACCAGGGCCAAGTCTGGGAGCATGGTTATGGCCGTTGGCGGTAAGCAGCGTACACCTTAGGCGATGCTTAAGAAAACTTGAGTTTTCGGCCAGAGTCTCGATTATTCTTGATGCTTCGATGAA